CTAGATGGCCCTTTGGTCTGACCCAGTACGGCCGTTCTTATGTTCTAAGCTCAGGGCTCAGGGTCGGGGGTCTCACTGGACCAACTTGATTTTCATGCAAACCTGCTCCTGGGGTGGCCAGGCTGGCAGCTATCCTGCCCTAGATGGCCGCATTCTTGTTCCTAGTGCGAAGGTCGTGGAAGTTGGAGGCCTCCCCCCAAACCTCGATGAGGTCCATGCTCTCCGCACTAGACCAGGTGGGCACCCGCCTCTTGCGGCCCCGGGCAGGCTCCAGGGAGCCACCAGCCTGGTCCTAGGAAGAAGCGGATGACTGGGTGGTAGCAGGTAGCTGGCTCGTGCAGGGTCTGCTGGCTGGGTGCTGGCAGGCTTGCAACTGGCATGAGCACTATAGCCAGACCGTGCCCCTTTAAGGGCTCCGGGTCTGGGAGGGGGGCAGAAAAGTTTCCCTGGTTTGGCCCAGAGTGGCCACCAGGGCAACCTGGGAAGGGCTAGCCGCCAATTAGTTCGAATTAAGTGGCTACACAGCCCTTAATTCGAACTACTTAATTCGAACTAGACGTTAGTCCTCGTAGAATGAGGTTTATCTAGTTCGAATTAAGCGCTCTGCTAGTTCGATTTAAGTTCGAACTAGCAGTTTGCATATGTAGACCCTATGAAAGTTAATTCTAACTAACGGCTGTTAGTTCGAATTAACTTTGTAGTGTAGACATACCCTTTCTCATTTTCTTCTCATTAGTGTAATTGTCTGGTCTTCGCCATCATTGCTTTTCTCCTTTGATAATTGCCTTATTGGTTTGTTTCCCCGTTTTCTTGTTCATTTTTTCTCTTGTTCGTTTGCTCCTCATGGGCAGTTTTTCTCGCTTTTTTGGATTCCTTTCCTTGTTTATTTTTTTTCTCCATTTTTCATTCATCCATCTTCTCAGTTTCTTGGTTTTCTCCTTTGATCATTGACACTTTATCTCATTCTCTTCTCCTCTCTTCTGTTTCAGGGTGACAGTGGGGGGCCTCTGCAGTGCCAGGCTCCCCAGGGCTCCCGCTGGTATCAAGTAGGCATCGTGAGCTGGGGCCGGGGCTGTGGGAGTCGCCAGCGCCCAGGTGTTTACACCCGAGTGGCCAACTATCGCTCCTGGATGGACAAAACCACTGCTGCTGTGGGGAGACCACTAAGGCCCCCAAAAGCCAAACCCACTCTGCAGGGCTCTGTTGCCCAGAATATTGAGTCAGAGGTCACCGGAGGTGGGGGGCACCGCCCATGCCCGGAGCAGCCCCTTGGCCTTGCTGTAGCCCTGGCTCTGGGGAGGTGGCTGGGCTGAGCAAGACGCAAGGCATGCTAGGAAGAGGGAGGACTTGAACACTGCTGTAAGGGACTCCGGGAAGAGGTAAAATGCCACTGCTGCAGCCACCACAAAGGATTCTGGGAAGAGATGGCAACGTTGACAGCTCCGATTGGCTGGTGCTTCGGGAGGGAGGGGAAGGAGGGTGAAGGATCATTAAATATTACATTGTGAAATGGAGAGTGACTGTTATCTGGGAACATGGGGTGGGACCCAAGCCTCCAGGATGGTGGGTAAAGGACACGTACCTTTAGGGGGCCCCTAAGAATGTGGAGAATTCGTCCCACATCTCCGAAATAGCTGGGGAAGAGAGATGGGTCCCAGGAGTCTGGGACAGCAGCATGGGGTGCTTACCCCAGGGAGCCTGGAGAAGTGGGGGGGTCTTGGGGTGATGGGAGCTGGGGCAAGGCAGGGGGAGGGGCTCCCCAGAGAGCTGGAACCTGGTGATGTCACAGTGGAATCTCGGGGCACCCAGATATTTACCTTCAAAGCAGTCTGAAGGAGTAGGTGCCAGGGAGCTGGGAGAGGGGGGTGGGGTTGGAGTGGGGTAATGTTGGGGGCGGGGTGCTCGGATGGTGCTGGATTGGAGGTTTTGGGTAACGGGGGAATCAGAGGGTGGAAGGGCAGGTCCAGGGGACACCCTTGGAATCCAGGAATCAGGGAAGACTCAGCTCAGAGGTGCTAGGAAGGGGGTCAAAGATAGTGAAATAAGGGTGCAGGAGGTTGGATGTGGGGTTGAGGAGCCATGGGGCTGTCTCAGCCCCCCAGGAATGAATTCAGGACTCAGTACCAGGGTGTGAATGCAGGGTGGAGGTTTGGTGGTTCAAGGTGGACATAGAAGGGTGCAGGGTGGAGGTCTGGGGATGCAGATTTGGAGTGCAGGATAGAAGTTTTGGGGCACAGGGTGGACATTGGGGGTGCAAGGTGCAGGATTGGGGATGGGGGCAGGTTTGGGGATGCAGGGTGGAGGTTTGGGAGATGTGGTGGCTCAGGGTGGTTGTTGCAAGCGCATGATGCAGATTTGGGGACAGGGAAATGCTTTGGGGGACAGGGTAGAGGTTTGAGGTGCAGGGTGGCTTTAGGGGATGTAGGATGCAGGTTTGAGAATCCAGGTTTCAGGTTTCAGGGTGCAGGAATGGGGGCAGAAGGTGAAGATTTGGGGGCAGGGTGGAAGTTTGAGGGTACAAGATGCATAGGGGTACAGGGTGCAGGTTTGGGGCAGAGTGGAAGTTTGGGGGTTCAGGCTGGATGTCAGGTAGTTGATGGCTCTAACCCCCAACTGGCTCCCAGATGGAGTTCGTCACTGGGTACCGAGCTGAGGTTCTGGACCTGGCTGAGCTGCTGCTGGGCTGGCACCGGCGCCAGGCAGGGGGGCCCCGGGATGGGCAGCGCCAACGCCGGCAGGAGGGGCACGTCCGGCGCCTGCCCCCTGACCCTGCCCTTTGGCTCCTGCACCTGCTGCCCAACCCTCGGCTGGCCCTGGGACTGGCCCTGCCAGGGGGACGCCAAAGGGGGTCAGTGGAGCCCCGGGGGCGGCTCTGCGGGGAGGATCCCCTGCAACTGCATGACCTGCAGCGGGCAGTCACCTTTCTTCGCCTCGATGAGGAAGATGAGGGGCCGGAGACAGGTACTCCCCAGACCTACTGAGAGCCTCCCCATTCCCCACGGGGCAGCCCTGTCTTCCCCTCCACCACACCCACTGACAGCCCCCCGCACCCGCAGGGCACTTTGTCTGCCCCTCTCCCACACTAATTGAGAGCCCCTAATTTACCACAGGGCATCTCCTGTCTGTCCCTCCCCCTCACCCACAGGGCACTTTGTTTGCCCCTCCCCCATACCTACAGACCACAGGGGGCATCTCCCAACCAGGGGCAGACTCAGACCCCTGCCCCTATTTTGATGCCATGGACCAAATCCTGGGGGGCAGGATGGTCTGTGCCCCCCAGGTGGTCATTGACCCTGGGGCAGAGCTTGCTGCCTCCTGCTGCTCCAGCCCCTGCTGCCTCCCCAGCTACCGCTCCTTCTCCCACTTCTTCCTCCCCCCATCCCCACAGGGCAACTCCTGTCTGCCCTCCTCTCCCAAGCCAGAGTCCCCCCATCTCCTCCTTCCTCTATTTGCCCCCCCCCCCACTAAGCACGCCGATCCCTCCTCCCCTGCAGGCACCTGTCCCCACAATTCTGCAGGGCCCCTCCCCTGCCCATCTCCTACCCTCACTGGTCTCATCTTGGCCCCTACCCCCAGGCCAGGCCCTGCTGCACATGGAGCACCTCCTGCTGGTGACGGATGAGCATGGCACAGTGATGGGCCTGGATTTCCAGCTGGGGGCCCCGCCACCGGCCACAGCACCCACCCCACTGGAGCAGCTGGCCCTCAGCCTGCTGTGCCACAGCATGGCCTGCCCGCTGGGTGCCGGGGAGCCCCGCCGGCCTCGGCTGCTGGCTGTGGGGGACCCCGCCTTGCACAAGTGAGTGTGACCGGGTAGGGAATGGGGACTCTGTGCCTTTCCCCCGCCCCACTGACCCCCCCACTCTCTCTGTAGATCACTGGAGCCACTGCTGCCCCGGCTTGGGGTGCGACTCAGCCCGGGGCCTATGCGGGGCTGGGGGCCAAAACCAACCTTCACCTTCCCTTCCATGCGGGTGCGGGCCTGCCACGTCTGCAAGCGGCACAGCTTCCAGGGGCGACTGGTGCCATGGTGAGTGGGGTGTAGGGCACAGGGACCCTTCCACTGCACCCTTAGGCACATTCCCAGATGCCCCATGGAGGCTGCAAATGCCAGCCAGGGAGGGAAACACAGCGGGTGCCCGCTCTGTGCCCACTACTGACAGGCCAGTTCACACTCTCTCAGTGCTCACTACTGTCGTGCCGGCTCACACCCACTCCGTGCACACTACTGCCAGGCTGGCTCACGCCCACTACATGCACTCTCTGCCATGCCCACTCACACTCAGCCTGTGCCCATATTGTCTTGCCGACTTACACCACTCCGTGCTCACTACTGCCAGGCTGATTCATACCTACTACATGCCGTGTCGGCTCACACCCACTCCGTGCACACTACTGCCAGGCTGGCTCACGCCCACTACATGCCGTGTCGGCTCACACCCACTCCGTGCACACTACTGCCAGGCTGGCTCACGCCCACTCTGTGCACACTACTGCCATGCCAGTTCACACCCACTTTGTGCACACTATTGCCAAGCTGGCTCACACCCACTCTGTACACCCTAGTGTCATGCCGGTTCACATCCGCTCCATACACTTTACTGCCGTGCAGGTTCACACACACTGTGTGCGCTACTGGTTGGGATGATTTTGTTGGGATTGGTCCTGCTTTGGGTAGGCAACTGGATTCAATGACCTCCTGAGGTCTTTTCTAGCCCTAGGATTCTATGATTCACACCCACTCCATGTTCACTACTACCAAGCTAGCTCACACCCACTCCATGCACACTACTGCCAGGCCCCCTCACACCCACTCTGTGCATGCTAATGCCATGCCAGTTCACACTCACTCTGTGCATGCTACTGCCAGGCCGGCTCGCACCCATTCCTCGCACATTACTGTCAGGCCGGCTCATACTCACTCTTTGCACACTACTGCCAGACCAGCTCACACCCACTCTGTGCACACTCTGCCATGCCAGGTCACACTCACTCCATGCCCACTGCTGGTTCATTGTGCATGCTCATGCTCACTCTGTGCGCACTACTGGTGCCCCGTGCCTGCTTCCACCTGCTCTGTGCCCACTGCTGGTGCCCAGTGCTGGCTCACACCTGCTCTGTACCTGTGTCTGGTGCCCCATGCCACCTCACACCCACATTATGCTCACTGCAGGCACCCCCATTCCACCTTACACCCACTCTGTGTCCTCAGCTGGTACTCTCTACTGGCTCACCTCTTCTCTGTGCCCAGAACTGGTGCCTCGTACTGGTTCATGCCCACATAATGCCAGCTCACACCTGTTTCATGTCTAGTACTGGTGCCTCATGCCTGCTCACATCCCTTGTGGCCGTGCCTTGGGGCAAGCTGATCTTCAATCCCTCTTTTCTCTCTCCAGCCAGCAGTGCCGAGCCGTGCTGTACTGCTCTGAGCGGTGCCGCACAGCTGACTGGGCCCGCAGCCCCGAGGACGCATCTCACTGCTCCTGGTGCCAGCGCATGGCTGGATACATGTCCCACGCCCGCCAGCTGGCCGATCTGCCCTTCACCTTCACCGCAGGTGCAGGGGGCAGGGGAAGGACTCCCCTGTGGGACAGGATCATGGTGTATTTATGTGGGAGGGCATGAAGCTGGCAGGAGCTGGAGGCCTTCAGGGCAGGGAAAGTTTTGATTGCGGGTTCACCAGATGTGGAGGGGGTCCTGGGCAGTGAGAGGCCACTGGGAAAGGGGGAACATGCGGCACTAGACATGCAGCTCTCTGTGGGACAGTGCTGAGAGGGGGGTAGCGGGCATGAGGCTCTCTGTGGGGTAGTGCTGGGAGCGGGGTAGTGGGCATGGGGCTCTCTGTGGGGTGGCGCAGGGAGGGGGTCCTGGGCATGGGGATCTGTAGTCGGGGCTGGAGGTGCAAAGGGGTGGAGGGCTGCACAGAGCTGGGGTTTATCGGGGCTCCTGGCCTCCCTGTCATTTGCAGAGGTGACGAGCGATGGGTTCAACAAGGAGGGCTTCCTGGCCTCACGGGGACTGACCCGGGGATACTGGGCCCACGAGAGCATGCTGGTCCGGGCCCCTGACTACGGCGTGGGGCTGGGGGGGAGAAAGGACTGGAGACCCATTCCTGTTCAGAGCGGTGAGCATGGGGGGCACTTCAGGGAGTGCCAGCTCCCACGCAGCCCCAGGGCAGGGACCAGCTGCCACAGGGGGTGGGGAGTGGGGGAGCTGTGGCTCCCAGCTCCACTCTGAAACCCCATTTCTCTCTCCTCCCAGGTAACCCCTTCGAAGCGCTGAGGCCAGAGGGGGGAGCTGCTCTGTCCCCCACCACGCCAGAGCCCCCTGCACCCAGGACCTATTTCAGTGAGATGGGGGAGGGACCGTCACAACTGGGAGGGTGGAGCCACTGGCAACAAGGGAGGGACTGGTGGTAGCAGCAGTAGGGAGAGGAGCTAATTCCAGCCAGGAAAGGGGAGTGGCAACCAGGAAGAGCTGAGCAGGGAGCAGTCTCAGTGCTCTGTCCCCCACCACGCCAGAGCCCCCTGCACCCAGGACCTATTTCAGTGAGATGGGGGAGGGACCGTCACAACTGGGAGGGTGGAGCCACTGGCAACAAGGGAGGGACTGGTGGTAGCAGCAGTAGGGAGAGGAGCTAATTCCAGCCAGGAAAGGGGAGTGGCAACCAGGAAGAGCTGAGCAGGGAGCAGTCTCAGATCTTGGAGGGACTGGGGAGAGCTGGGGGAGGGGCCGGTACCAGACAGGGGGAGGGACAGTGAGAGCAGGGGGAGGGGCCGGTTCCAGACAGGGGGAGGGACAGTGAGAGCAGGGGGAGGGGCCGGGTCCAGAGACGGAG